TTTGGAGATGATTGAAGAAGATGCCTCTGCTTCACCTCTTGTCACATTTAGGGAACACAGACTTCTTCCCCCTTCATCCCTCCACCCTGCAGGCAGAATTAAGATTCCCCGGTTCTGTCTTGGAGCGCTCGGCCTCATGGGAAAGTTGGGTTGTGGTAACTGTAATTACACAGCAACTCTCCAGCAGAACATCTCTGCCTTTGGTGCCTCCCCCAAAGGAGGAAAGCTGTCCCTCAAAGACAGCGTCAGCGCTGTCTTTGAGGGATTTTGCTCCATTCTTAGAGGCAGCACATACCTTAGAAATGAGCAGCTGTCGGTTCCAGCTCCTCTTCATCACTCTGCTCCTCTTTAATTCTCGCAATGGTAAGCTCTGAGGTTGGAAGTCTGTTGTTTCTGAGCACGTTTGCAATTCTGTGTACAGCTGGAGGCCTGAAATGATTCACAAACAGTTGGCGTTCACAGTTTGGTTCTGCAGTAAGGTTTTGCAGAGAGACTTGGGGTTCATTCACACCAGCCCTGTTTGATCTGCTTTAATCTAACTCTAGATTGTTTGACTAGAAAGTCCGATTCACTTGGGAAGATGTGAATGTGCAATCGAACTGTGATGTCAATTGAACTCTGGTCAGCCTAAAAGCCTAGATCTTGGTTCAGTTGAAGTGAACTCTGGTGCGTTTGAATGCTTATGCAAAAACAGGAGGGATTAGGGTTGCAGGAATTCTGGGTAAAAACAACCAAAACAAACACTCATATCTAGTGCTAGTGAAAGAAATAGCTTGTGGTCGTTTACCAGACCAGAGTGAAATCCTACAGCTGCTAAAGTCTGACGCCACTCCATTTTTGTTTACATGTTATGAAGAAGCAGGTTGAGCTCAGGGTGTTCTTCAGAGGTTTTTGCGTCTTTTTCTTCAGTAGTTCTTGGTGCAGCACCACCACAGATGAGGGATAAACAAGTTTTTTGAATGGTTTGGTTTGTTTGACACACTGCAGTGTGAAAGTGAACCGCACCAGCTGAAAATGTAACAAATGGTACAATTTTGAGCACATAATTGAACCAAATCTATCGAACTATCTTGGTTTATTCTTTCAGAACGCCATGGCAACTGCTCTGTCTACTTCCTGACAGCATCAGAAGGAATATAGGAAAGAATAAAGACAGAAATATTTTATAAAACAATGCTCATCAGGGAGAAACTTTAATCAAATCAGTCAATCAATGTTGTAACAGTGTAACCATGTATGAGGTTGAGCTCTGCTGCTTCTGTGAGTCCGTTACGGTTGATGGTGGCCAGTGGGGCCCATAAACATGGAAGTCGTACCATGTGTGGAGGCGGGGCTCAGGAGGAGGACGGCTGATTTGTGGGGGTGACGATGATGATGTTGGGCTGTGACCCCCTCCTCGCCTCAGTTTCCAGCCTGTTGCACAGGTCCCTGCAGATAAATGAGAGTTTAATTCAATCAGGAACCGAACACAATCAGCGGCTCAATGCAGGAACTCCCCACATTCAGTGGACTCCACAGCCCCAACACAACAGCACACCTGTTCAGAGGAAACAGCAGCAGGTGCAGCGAAGCTACAATGAGCTATAAATCTGTTGGTTTCTATTAAACACCTCTCAGAGATGGAGTGGCTGCACAAAGTTAACAGACTTTGCAGAGGACTCTGGATAGCTGGATGAAATGCAAACATTGAGTTCCAGGTAGCAACCTGGTATCCATGGGAACCACCTCCCCTCCTCCCTCGGGCTGCTGCTCAGGTGATCAGCTGATGAGGAGGGAGAGGAGGAGGAGGATGCATCAGCCTCCACCTCAGAGTGAGGCAGCGAGCGGACAGAGGAGGACGCAGCACCTGGACCAGCGTTGCAGCAGCTGGAAGATGGGCTGGTGTTTATGAAGGTTCGAGCTCAACGTGATGCTGAGTCATTAATCGCCGACGAGGTCACATGTCCTTCAGAGACATGAAGAGGACACACTGTTTTCAGTGTGGCTTGTTTTTCTCTCGTGTTGCTGCTGTTGTTTTCAAAGCTGCGTGTTCCATATTTGTTTGCGTTTGCTGTTTGAGCTTTTCAGATTCCAGTTGTGTGTGTGTTTGTGCCGCCTCTGAGGAGTTTCCTCTCAGAAACAGCTGGAGACGAACGTGACAACAGAGAACGTGTCGGAGGAGGAGGAAGATTAATGTGTCTGTGTGGGAAGCTGGAGGAGGAGGAGGAGTCTCAGCTTTGTCCTCAGCTCTGTGCTCAACACAAAGACAACTGACAGAGATGTTCTCCTCCAGCGATGCCTCACTCTGATGAGACAGAGATGCTCTCCGGTGGAGACCTTCCACTCTGAAACATTGTTGGGTTGCAGCCACAGGTGTGCTGGAAATGATGTGGGGTGGCACAGACAGCACTTTGAATGCAGTTTGTTGGGAGGTCAGCAGCTGTTGACCAGTCAGAGTCTGGAGTTTTAATGCGAGCCTTTATGTCACTGATCGATCCTGGTTATTTGACTTGTTGGAGGTCCAAAAGGAGACATCTGGATCAATAAGTATCAACTTTGACAACTGATGAGCTGAAATTTGCTTCTGTATTCACACTTGAAGGTGTCCCCCTGTTGGAGATGAGCCAGATAAGCTCCAGCAGGGTTTGCTTCATCCCTCCAGGCATGAGGCACTCTCTGTCTGAAGTGGAGGAGTTAAAGTATCTTAGTGTCTGGTTGATGGAAGGACAGAGCAGTAGACGTATAGACAGATTTGGTCCTCATCTGCAGGTCTAAATATAAGCTATGTTCCAACTCTATATCGGATATCCTGAATACAACACTACTAAACTTCAGTAGTAGGGTGGCATAGAAAAAAGGTGAGGTTCTCTGTTATTTAGCGAGGGCTTCTGGGCACCTCTGAATGGAAAGAGACCCCGGGACAGACCCTTAAGGCTGCATGCAGCCAACATGTAGCCAACATGCAGCCAACATATAGCAAACATGCAGCCAACATGTAGCCAACATGTAGCCGACATGTAGCCGACATGCAGCCGACATGCAGCCGACATGCAGCCAACATGTAGCCAACATGTAGCCAACATGTAGCCAACATGCAGCCGACATGTAGCCGACATGTAGCCGACATGTAGCCGACATGCAGCCGACATGCAGCCGACATGCAGCCGACATGCAGCCTTGCTCTGCGTTTGAAAAACACATAATTCCTCCACATTTAAACAAAAGTTGGTTGGGTTCCCTGATTGGAAAATCTGAAAATCAGCCGGTTCCAGACACTACCTGATACCTCCAGCATGTTATAACCTGATGGTTATTGATCCTGGTTATTGTTTATTGATCAAGCTGGATAAATCAGCATCCTGCTTTGGAACAGCTGAATATTTCAGCTGCAGCTCACATTCTTTCAGTCAGGAAAGAAAGAAATAATAGAATAATAGAGGGGGTGGTTTGGGAGTGTGTTGGCCCTGTGGGGGTGTGGGGGGGTCACATTAGACCCCCACGTATACCTTGGACCACACAGCGAGTGCTCCATCTCTCTATGTTTGATCACAGAGGGCTTTACCCGTCTGAAGCGGTCACACCTCTTATTAAAGCCCGGCCTGTCCCACGCCCCCCCACTCCCTTCGCCGACCCCCACCCCCCCTCTCTTGGTATTCAGCCCAGGTCAGCAGATTTGCGCCCAGCCCACCGTGGCTCCCTTTTTAATTTGCACCTGTTGCGCAGTTGTCCGGGAGGCGAGAGCTGCAGCGGCTGCAGACAAAGATCATATTATGAACAGACTAATCTCCGTGTAGCTGAGAGGGTCGGGGGTTCGTTGGGGGTGGGGGTGGTGGTGGTGGGTGGGGGGGTCTGCTGCCTCCTGTGGGAGATCAAATCTGCAGCAGGAAGTGTGATAAGACGCAGCAGAGGCGATCCAACAATCTGTGTTCGCTGAACGAGGCTGAAAATCTGAGGCTGTTTCTGTGGCTGGACTCCCGTCTGCAGGCTGTTCCCATGATGTCATGCAGACCCCCCTCCCCCCAACCAACACACACACACACACACACACACACACATGCATGCACCCCAACCCTCACCCCTGCACACACAATTCACCTCAGTCAGGTTCAACTCAGTTCAAGTCTACAGCTGACAAACACCACACTAAAATAAGTTGAGCTACAACTAACAATTCTAGTTATCGATTAACTGATTATTTTTATGATTAATTGATTAATCGGATGAAAAAATTGGCGTGTGCTTTCAGTGAAGCCTTTTTATACAATATTAGAAAAACATTAAAATATGCAAATAAATAAATTCCTTTTTAATTAAGAACATAAACATTTTGTTGTCTAAAATACAATAACAGCATTCCGTTAGTGAACGTGTTTGTAGCAATGGATGCGTCTGCAGCTAAAAATGACTTCTAACGTCAACATGTAAGAAGCTCAGCCGTTTTTCCTGGACTTAACATCAATACAGTGTAGGCCTGACCTATTGACTATTTAATCAATTAATAATTGGATCGCAAATCATGCTTCATAGATTTTTTTTACAGAGTCCTGGGTCAAACATATTTACAGACAGGTTTTATTTCTCTTAAACGCAAAATTAATATATATATACATTTTTAAAGTTTTGGTTTAATTACTGCTCTGAGTGTGTTGTTCTTTCAGCATCTGACTTTTTTTGAGTCTGTTGATTCAACATGATTAATCCTGATTAATCGATTCAGCTCTAAAAATAAGTCTTAATGGAGTCAAAGGAAGCTTCTGCTGTTCTTTTTCCAATGGAAATAACAGATTAAACTACTTTACATAAGGAGACGATCAAATCACTCAATCACACAGCTCTTAGACTGAATCGTATGGTGCTTTTTCTTTCTAAGTCCATTTTGCATTTTGTCCAAGTGTCTATGTATATTTATTGCAGACAGAACTATGAGACTTTAACGAGCTTCTGGATGAAAATCCAGAGGGAAAGCTGGTTCCAGATGTTTTACCAGCTGTCTTATCTCCTCCTCCATCTCTGTGTTTCAGTTCTGAACTATGACAGTGTTCTGGAGACAACCTCAGAGACAGATGAGGACGACCAGACGCTTCTCCGTGATGACAGCAGCTTCACCGGAGGAGCAGGAGACGATGAAGAGGCGGGTAGTCCAGTTGGTGTCCCCGCCCTGGAGGCGTCGCCCAGGGTCGGCCACGCCCTGCTGTCCAACCGGGAGCCGGACGACTCGGAGCACCGGGGGGAGGACGAATGTATCGGTCAGTCTCTGATCTGATCAGCACCAAATGTTGTTTGTTCTTCTCCAGCACATAAAAGATGCTGCTTCTGATCAACAGATAGCAGAAAGAAGAAAGTTATCATCTGTATATCAACATATTGGAACTGTTCTTGTGAGAATTATTGATCAATCATGTTCCTCTGAACACAGATCAGCTGCAAAAAACAACTTTTAGTTTACTGAGTCTGAAAGGAGGAGAATAACAGTTCGAACCGGGAGCCGGAGTGGGATACTAGGAGGGAAGAACCAGAAGAGGAACCACAGGGAAAAATACACTGCAAAAAGTCACACTCTTATCAAGTATTTATACACTTGAAATAAAGCAAAACTAACTCAAAAATAACATTTTAGCAATATATAGAAGCTTGTTTTAAGTAAATAATTAATTAATGTTGATATATTTAAAAAATATTAGTTCCATTGGTGGAATGAAGATGGACCAGTGGGAGAAAAATATCGAGAGCTGGCAAAGAAATAGGGAGAAAACCGGCAGAAGATTTTGGACCACATGGGAAAAAAACAGAAGGATCATTAAGACAAACAAAAAACTAAATGGAGAACCAAGAGGAAATTCATGAGGAGAACCAGGAGGAGAAGGGGAGCGCCACTTCTAAAGAATTAAAAGGAATAGAATAACGTTTGTCTTTTGTTCCTTTAGATGATCGCAGCAGTGAGTACGATGCTGTGGGACCTGAGGCCTCTCTGCAGGCGGTGGAAGACGGTCCAGGTGAGATCAATATTCAGTATTCTGATCAATAACAACACAATGAAATGAAACAACAGATAAACCCCAGTCACACTTTTTTACAAAAATATTTTATTTTAAAGACAAACCAGTGAAATAGATGTAACTGATTGTTTCTTAATTTTTACCTTTTCATCTGATTCTCAGAAATGAGCTACAATAAAAATTAATGAATCATTAAGTTTCAACTTATTTTCTTTATGTGTGTTGAACAATTTGATTTTAATTGTTACAAACATTATAGTATAAGTAAAACATGTCTCTGTTCTTTAACATTATTTGTATTTGTGGTCAAACTACATCTGACAAGAAGATTTACACTAAATTTGGTAAATATTTAGTCAGTTAGAAAGACTTGCAAGGTGTCTGTTGATTTGTATGCCTGTGAGACAAGAGTCAGGGCAGAAAGTGTCTTTCTATGCCGATGATCATCTTTTCTCCGTTTACTTCAGGGAGGCGACTGGACGGCATCTCTGGGCTGGATGAGTTCTTCCTGAAACGTAAGCTGGAGGATGACGATGGTCACCACACAACCATCGCTGAGTACCTGCAGCGCAGCGACACCGCCATCATTTACCCAGAAGCCCCGGAGGAGGTGACGCGCCTGAGCACGCCCGAGGCCGGTGGTCAGGATGAGAGCGAACATGGTGAGTTGATGATCACAGTAAAAGGATCATAACCAATAACTTAAAAATATGACTCATCAAAAAACATGACTCATGATTTGACCTTTCACCTCCCCTTGCAGATCTGCCTTCCAGTGCCACAGATGACTTCGCCCAGCTGCTCACCTGTCCGTACTGCGAGCGCGGCTACAAGCGGCTGACGTCTTTGAAGGAGCACATCAAGTATCGACATGAGAACACAGAGGAGACCTTCACCTGCCTGCTGTGTGCAGAAACCTTCAACCAGAGAGCCCAGCTGGAGCGGCACATGATCACACACAAACCCACGGTGGACCAGGTAAGAATACACACCTGTACAGGATAGATAGATAGATAGATAGATAGATAGATAGATAGATAGATAGATAGATAGATAGATAGATAGATAGAGTTCAAGCCCCGCCCATCCACTGCAGATGCATCCTGTGTGGGCGGAGCCTCCTCCTGCGGCGGCAGCTGTGTTTGGGCGTGCAGCCTTTAGATGCAGCTCATCACTTCGCGCTCTAATCTAATGATGAGGCCGTGTTAAACGCTTCCTGCACACGCCTGCTCTCTGCTCCTTACATCCAGGAGTCTCATTAGAGTCAGTAACTAAGCTGCAAGTCATTCCATTTTCCAATTACACCATGATCGTAATGGGATTACCTTATCCAGGCAGTCGGCTGTCAGGATCCTCCGGTTCCTCAGACCTCCTCGCAGACTGAACCGGGACCAGATGGTCTTTTCCCTGCTGGGCTGGAGAATCCTAATCCTCTCAGTGTTTATCTGAGGACTCCCTGAGTTAAACCGTTAAACTGAGACCAGAGGCTGAACTCAGATCAGTTCAAGTTTCAACACAGAAATGCTCAAGTTGGATCTCTAAAACATCTGAGACATAAATCCTTCGCTTTCATGTCTGTTTGATCACAAACATGAAACACAACAATGAGACATCTTATCAAGACTTCTGACCTTACCATGGAAAGATGGATGGATGGATGGATGGATGGATGGATGGAAGGATGGATGGATGGATGGATGGATGGATGGATGGATGGATGGATGGATGGATGTGGTTTCATCTCCTTGGGTAGCTGAAGGAAAACAATTTCCAGATTAACTTCCATCTCTGATGTCATGAATAGTTTTCTCCTTCATTCCTTCTTACAGAGAGCTTACCAGGGAATCAGTATGGAGGAACTCTAATAATAATGTCATTAATGTGTCCAAATGCTGTGTAACCTGATCATCATGTCTTTTCTCTGGTTAAACTTGTGGTTAAGCAACGTCAGAGCAGCCAGTTGATAGAGGCGCTTTATCGGCTGAATAAAGGAAATGACTGTTCAGGTTTGCGTTTCATGTAAAATGAAAAGACGTGAGCTCCCACTCAGCTGTGGGGGGAGGACACCCCCCATTACGCTTTGTTTTTGTTTATCAGAGTATTTGCATTTGAAATGTTGGGAATGCACCTCAACCAGAAACTGCAGCATGTGAACAGAGTCAGCCCACGCTGTTTCTCAGAATGCCTCTTTGCACTCAGACTTCCAGGAGAATCTGTCTCTATCCTCTCTGCTCCACTCCCACTCCTCCTCCCTCCTTTTCTAATCGGTTTCTCCTCTCTGCAGCCACCGCTGCTCAGTGAGGGAGCTGCAAACCGCAAGTTCAAGTGCAGCGAGTGTGGAAAAGCCTTCAAGTACAAGCATCACCTGAAGGAGCATCTCCGTATTCACAGTGGTGAGTGGAGCAGAGGGGCGGAGGAGCAGATAAACACACACGATTATTACTATGGGCAATGGCACAACACCAGACACACACACTCAGAGAAAGAGCCCAGACAATGTGGTCTGTTGGTAATAAAAACACAATATCCTGTTGTCATTAGGAAGTACAGCAAAAGTATAACTGCCACTGTTTCCTTTATGCAAATAAAGAAAAATAAAAGATGAGGTTAAATTAAAAAAACACAGGAGCAATTTCCTCAACTCTTCATCATTCATGTTATTTTCTAACATTTCAACCTAAAAAAGTGACATATTAATCCAGTTGTAAAGCAAAAGCAAAGTTTTTAATGCTCAGTTTATCAAAAGTCATTCAATAGATGAAATTGTTGGTGGTCTCTATAGAGCACATATATTCTGAACCAAAAACTGGATTGTTGGTGACTGGCAGGTTGAGACAGTTGGGTAGTTCAAAACACTGGGTGCTGTAACCAGAGGTGGGTAGCAATGAATTGAATTTACTTGAGTAGATTCTGTAGATATTTTGACAGAACTGACTGAAACTGAGTACTTTCTCCACAACTGAGCTTAACTAAGTCAGTCTTGGTTGTTATGAGTTGACTATTCATTGTTGGAAACCTCTGGAAAAATCTCAGTCTTTTGAAATAGAAAGTAAAGTAATCCCTGTCTTGCATTGCAGGTGAGAAGCCATACGAATGCTCCAACTGCAAGAAGCGCTTCTCCCACTCAGGATCCTACAGTTCTCACATCAGCAGCAAGAAATGCATCGGCCTGGTTGCCCTTAATGGACGAGTACGCAATGGGAACAACAGCAAACCTGGCTCTTCTCCAAACTCCACAACATCCTCACCTGGAAGCCCCGCCTTGGCTCACCTCCGGCAAAAACTAGAGAATGGGCGCCTCCTTGGCCTGCAAGACCAGCAAGGTCAGGTGGACATCAAAACTGAGCCAATGGACTTTAATGACTACAGGCTGCTAATGGCTTCACAGCATGGGTTTGGGGGACCAGGCGTCTACTTAAATGGTCATAGTGGAAGCCCACTGGCTAACCATGGCTCTTCACAAAGCTCCTTTCAACAACTGGGTGGCATGGGGATTGATCTCTCTCTGCTAGGATACGCTGGACCTCTCGGGAGCAGCCTAAGTGAGGTACAGAAGGTTCTCCAGATTGTGGACAACACTGTTTGCAGGCAGAAGATAGATGGAAACCCAGAGGAGCTGTCCAAACTTAGAGCCTATATGAAGGAGTTGGGTGCCCAGATGGAGGCACAGGCCAGCTTTCAGGTGATTGGCAGCAACAGTCCTACCAAGAGCATCATTGACTACACGCTGGAGAAGGTCAATGAGGCCAAGAACCTTATCAATGACTCCAAGATGCAAGTGGATGTTAAGAAAGAGAAACCAAACCAATCAGTTGATCTCAGCGGTGAAGAAAAGTTCTCTGATGGACAGAACCAATTCCTGACATTTTCTTGCCAATACTGCAAGGAGATCTTCCCTGGACCCATCCCACTTCACCAACATGAGCGCTACATGTGTAAAATGAATGAGGACATCAAACCAGTCCTGCAGCATCTAGAGGGCAGTCCTGTTGGCTGCAGGGGGCTGAGGGCTGATGAACTGTCCCGTACTGAGAGACCCCACAGCCCCACCAACGTTTTCAAGGACCACATGTCAGTGTTAAAGGCTTACTTTGCCATGAATGCTGACCCTAACTCTGAGGAGCTGCTCAAGATTTCCCTTGCTGTTGGCCTTCCTCAAGAACTGGTAAAAGATTGGTTTTCACAATGGAAAATTCAAAACAACCACATGGACAGTTTGAGGAAAAAGTTCCAGACTCCCGAGCGTGGGGGACCAGACCGCAGCTTGAGTCGGTCTCCAGTGTCCCTTCCTGTTATAGATTTACACAATGGCTTTATTAACACTGATCCCACCCATAGACTCACAAAGATCAATCAGTTTACAGCCAACAGGCAGACAAAGGGGGACAAACCAATAGATCCTGCTGATCCCTTGAGGAGCAACACTTCGTCACCTCTAAACCTGTCTTCAACCTCGTCAAAACACTCCCAGAGTAGCTCTTACACTCCAAACAGCCTCACATCTGAGGATGCCCACGGGGATACTCCTCTAGATTTGTCGCTGCCCAAACACATGGCACAAAAGCGACCAAAGCCAAATGGCTTTATCACCGAGCACAACGGCGAGGTGTCAGTACGTGAACAGGGTTCTGGATCTCTAGGGCTGGCAAAGATCAAGAAGGAGTTCTTGGGCTCGGACAGTGGTGGGAGCTCTATCCATCAGCTGGAGAAAAGCACCAGTCCAATTTTTGGGATTAATCCCTTTGCTGGTGGTCCTGTGTACACCTCCTTGCCACCCCATGGAGCTTTTCCTCCACCCACCTTCATAAGTCCTGCTCAGGCCACCATCCCCGGCCTCAGGCCCTACGCCGGTCTTGACCCCATGAGCTTCCTGCCCCACATGGCCTACACCTACGCCACAGGGGCTGCAACGTTTGCAGAAATGCAGCAGAGAAGAAAGTACCAACGGAAAGCAGGTTTCCAGGTAAAACTGGGTTATTATATAGAAACATTTTTTATGATATTCTATCACTATGATCAGTTTTGGACAAATGTGATGAGAATCATTATTGTTGGACATAAGAGCTAAGGCCTCAAAAGATCTTAGATTTAAGAGCACACACTAATATTTGAGGATCTCTTCTGCAGTTAGACAGGCCTTCTAATCTTTACCCACAGCACTGCATCTTCTACTGGTTCAGGACCTTTTTGGGCACTGAAAGTCTCTAATTGATCATGTGAATGAGCAGGGGCATTTCTTGATTAGTTCCAGTACCATGAAGATAATTATGGGTTTTTAAAACCTGTTATGCACTGTGACAAAAAGACCCAGAGACAGACATTCACAAAAAAGTTGTATTTTTAATTTCTTTTTAGATTTTTTTTTCACATAAAAAAGTGATACTTTAATCACTTCAGCACATGATCAGGCAGATTAGACTGATATTTGCGGGCCTTCAATTTACAGTTAAAGTGAAAAAGCCTTTTAGTTGGTAGATAGCTCCATTAGTCATGAACTTTGATATCAGTCCATGTCTTCAGAATTTGTATCAACCACCAAAGTTAGCGAATTGGAAATGGATCCTTCTCAGAAGCTCTTTGAACCACAGTCAGTGTGCCTTACAGTGAAAAAAGAACTGACTTCATTGTTAAAGAAACCATAAAAAGATTCCAACAGATTAGAGCTGCACAATATATCAAATCACAGTCAATTATACCTGTATGTCAGATCTCAGTATGTGCAAGTTGAATGAACTTTCCCTGCCCTTAATGTTCTCATCTGATATGGACCGCTACTTGTTTGATTGAAATGCTGAGGCTCACTGAGTCATGGCAGCATTGTGAGGAAGGAATTGCTAACAGTATCAATACAGTATTTAACAATATCTCATTAGCAGGTCATTGTCCAGATCCAAAGGACTGTTTTCATAATGGAGGAGCATTTTGTTTTTATAGCTTTTGGTGTGTGTCCAGAGACTGAAGGACAATCAGAGTATGTAAAAGATGGTTGAAAGTTGTATTGTGTTGGTTGTGTATGCTTTTAATTTGTTAAATATTGAATCAAATGTTTATCTGAGAGAAGAAATCCTAAATGTTTTGACTGATGTATGATCCAGCGGCCGCCTGCTTTACGTCAGAAAATCTCTGTTGTAAATGCAGACAGAAAACAACCTTGAAGGAGTGTTTGGGCTGAAAGCACCTGTTTAAGAGGAGCTGTTTCTGACCACAGTTTGGTTCTGTGAAAAGTCACCTTGAACATCTCCTGCACACCCTCGTTCATTTCATTCCCCTCCCCCACCTGTTTTTAAAAAGTCTCCTGGATGAAGGGACTTACCCAGGTTGGGCCTTTAAGCCCTGTCCAGACTTGGGATCATGGAGCCAGGAGGGGGGTGGCAGCAGAAGGTGTCTCGGAGCGTGAAGTCGACAGGTGTGGGATTATGACTGCAGCTCTGTCTCTGTCTCAGGGGGAGCTGCTGGACGGGACGGCGGACTATCTGTCAGGCCTGGACGACCTGACAGACAGCGATTCGCTGCTCTCCAGGAAGAAGATTAAGAAGACTGAAAGTGGTATGTACGCGTGTGACTTGTGCGACAAAACATTCCAGAAGACCAGTTCCCTCCTAAGACACAAATATGAGCACACAGGTATATATAACACTTGGACATTTCTTTTTAACCCCCCGTTCTCCTTTTATCTCTAATTTCTTCACACTTTTGTTTCACTCCCTACTCTTTACTTCTGTTTCTTACTTAGCTTCCAACTCGTAGCTCTTCCGACCTGTTTTGTTTCTCTGCAGGCTGCGGCCTTTAACACGTTCTCTTCTTTGCAGCAGCTGGTTGGGGAGGAAAAAACATGTTCTGCAGCATGAGTGTCAGACTGTGGTATAAGGGGGAATTTGGCTTTTGTTCCTGTTTGTGTCTGAGTGAAGATCCAGAGGAATAACTTAATAAAAACAGAGAATCACTTTTTATATTTACCCTGGAAACAATTTGTGATGAAACTTCACTGGTAAAGGTAAACCTACTGTCAGGCCTCGCATTAAACATAACTTTAGGAAACATGACTCATTTTAACAGCAAAGGGGTTTTACGTTTACACTGCAAGACAACGCAAGTTGTGTGTTTGGCACTATTCATAACCAAGATAATTCATAGTGCAAAGTCGTAAAATAAAAGAAATAAGGTAAAGAAAATAACATTAAAAATAAGAATACATTAAAACAGCGAGATACAATTAAGCTTCATTCAAAAGAGAAACACTAAATAATATCCAACCTGCATGTCTTAAATCTGTCTAAGAACAACCAATTTGACTAATTACAAGTATTCACTACTTTTTCTCAGTCCTGTTTTGACAGGAAGCCCTTTAACATAACAATTTGTTTAAGATGACAATAAGATGATTTTTGTAGTAAAATTTATTTGAAAATTTAAATTCAGGTATGTGTCCATAACCAAACCACAGTTTCTTGCATGCTTTGTGGTTGGGCCTTATTGAGAATAACTGAGTCCTGTTAACTAATCTTGTGGTTTTTTTGGCCAAAAATATTAATGCTTTGTTGTATTTATTCATCTGACCCTTTGGTCATAATATTATGGCTGCATTATATAAGTGTAATCATGTGGCAAAACAAAAATATAAAGTTGCATGTAATCAGCAAGAGAAAGATATTTAGTTCTCTATAATCTGGTGGAGCATTTGAATGTTGAATAAAAGTGTTCCAAAAAAGAAGCCATGAGGAACCCCACATATAATCTTTCTTTGTTTAGATTTATATTAACCAAATGACTCAAAATATTCGCAGTCTGCCAAGTAGGACCTGAATCAATTTGTAACAATGTTCCACCTACTTTTCCAGTCTATTAGTCGGTATGTAATGGTCACTTTTGCCCATAGGTGAACTTTCTCTGTACAGCTTATAAATGTTTCTGACTATAACCTGATACCTGATACCGGAGTCCCATTCTTCAGTGACTTTCTTTTAAAGCTGAGAGAGGTTGTCAGACAGGATTCATGAAGGTGATACATTCCCATCCTACCTGTTTTATTCCCTGTCTTTCTCTGCATTGCATCATGCCGTCATCATGTTGGCCAGATGAAGAAATCCTGAGCAGAAAAAGCAGGCAGCCAGTATTTAAACCCACAGACTTCATGTTTTATTCAGTAGTGTTATGTAAACAGTTTCTCAGTTAGATGTTCTGGAGGTTTGAAGTTTCCTGTATGAACTCTGCCTGTTTTTAGTTTTCGCAAATTAATATTTCCTGTTTATTTCCTTTAATATGGAGCTTGAAGCTCAACACAAAGCTGTTTCCAACTAAACTCAAACTGATGGTAATATTGTTCCTGCAGTCCTTTATGTTCCTTTCAGAACAATCTGTTTGACTGTTGATTGGTTGCATTAAAAATATTTATAATAATAATACTTTTTCAAACTTTCTAGAAGAAAGTTTGAAAAGAAAAGATCTAAGTGCACTCTTACTTCTCAGGACTGACAGTTGCATTCAGGTGCTACAAGTCATATCTATTGATTAACTGATCATAATCAAAATCTTTTTCATAAAAGTAAGTAATTTTTGTTAGTTTGATTCTCTGGATGCTACAGGTGTGTGCTATCACCATGCCAGGAATGAAAGGCATCACCTTTGAGAAACAACCATTGCTATCTGTCAATCTTGGAAGGTTTATAATTATATCTTAATGCCATTTCCTAACAGCTCGAAATCTATAATTCTTGAGAAACAAAGATTATTCATCAATGGAAACAAGATAAGACTACTGTCATTCTTCTACAAAGAGGACATTTCACCAAATAAGTTTAGACTTTTCAATGTTTAGAGAAATTGCAAAATATCTCTAAAGAGCTGCATCCCAGACTCGGAGACAGAGCTGAGATCTGTTAGCATGCTAACAGATCTCAATTAATCAATTAGCATGGTAAATTTCAATGTTTTGTCTGCATATAGTCTTGGATTATAGTCTTGGAATATTGATATAGTATATCAATATTTAAAACATCAGCTGGTTATTTTCTTTTTTTTTTTTTCAAAGTTAAGAGCCATTCTGGAAGGTCCAAAGGGCCACGTTTTGCAGATCTCTGGTACAAACCATCATTTCAGAACAAACCTTTTCTCAGAAACCAAACAATGTCTAACAAATTTATTGAAAAACTTAAGACATGTCAACGTTTCTGTTTAGAATCAGTTTTTTCTACTGGAGTCTGTTTCAGAACTGACCAATTGGTTGGTGTCTGTGTTTAAACACCTGCTCTACCTTCATCTCTTTCACTTTATTGCATCATCCTCGATTTGACTCCCCAACGCTGGAGCAGAAAGCTGCCACCCACTGATATTTACTACTGTGTGTGTACGCGTGTGTGTGCGTTACAGTATGCTAGCTCTGGTGGATGTTTCAGGTGTTTCCAGTGTGTTTGTAGGAAGAACCTGCCTGCATGTGCCTACAGAGCTGTGCAAGTGTGTGTGGAGCTGTGCTTTTAGTGCATGTGTGCGTGGGATGCCTGATTGGATGAGGTTCTGACTGCCGGTTGGCAGCAGACGAAGCATCCTGCTCAGTCAGATGGAAGAAATTTCCGCCCATACGGAGTCGTAGTAAATCCAGCAGAGTGTGTGTGTGTGTGTGTGTGTGTGTGTGCCTGTATGCGTGTGTGTGAGACGACTGTGCTCCTCCTCAGGTTAAATCTGGCGCCGTGATGTCGTCGAAGCTACTTGCTGCCTGACGACATTTCTAGGCATCTCACAGTTGTCGAGGCAATAAATTATAGCCGAACTCTAAGTTTGAAGTTCCAACTGTGAAAAGTTTGATAACATTTTTCAAACAGTACTGCATAAAACCAATAGAAAATTATTTTTAGAACAGAAGAGTATGTATGAATGGCCATGGCGTGTCCAAAGTCAGCCCTGTAGGGTCAGCGTTCTGCAAGTTTTAGGTGTTTCCCTGATTACGCCTAAATGAAATGACTGGTTCATTAGCAGGCCTCTGCAGCACGAACCTCCATACTGAGGCGGTTTCTATGTCATTTGAATCAACTCAACTTATTGGAGCAAGAACACCTCTAAACCCTGCAGGACACCGGCCATTGATGGCTGAAGCTAAACACTTGCTTTTTATATTGCTTTTATGTACACTGCTCAAAAAAATAAAGGGAACACTCAAATAACACATCCTAGATCTGAATGAATGAAATATTCTCATTGAATACTTTGTTCTGTACAAAGTTGAATGTGCTGACAACAAAATCACACAAAAATCATCAATGGAAATCAAATTTATTAACCAATGGAGGCCTGGATTTGGAGCCACACACAAAATTAAAGTGAAATGTTTCCTTTATTTTTTTGAGCAGTATATATACAATTTTTTATGAGAACCTAGCCTGCTAGCTAGCTATTTTGCGTCTATCATTGGTAAGTGTAAATATAACGCCAATTGGCTGGACAGTTTGTTTCTCTTCTGATGCCAGCCTGTACAATGCTGCAATCTCTGCAGAAAAGCTTGGCACTTCTTTTGTACATTTGTCATAATTCAGGTCTTAAATTTTATTCACAATGGTCTTATAAAGGCCTTTAGAAGTTGTTGATTTGAGCTGGTGAAGACTGCAGAATCCCTGTGTATAATAATAAAGATTCACTTTTTAACTAAGAAAATTGAGTTTTTGATCACTTTTTAATTTTTTTAAATGAAGCTTTTAAGTTACTTTGACTTTGTGAATTGATTAAGTGTGCTTGTAGACATCAGGATAAGCAAATGTTTTGTCACTGATGGTTTTTGCAGAAAAAGTCATTAAAAGAGCTTCTGCTTTTTTTTATTACTTTAAACTGAAGCTGTTGTCTCCGTCCTTACCATCTCCTCCATCTGTCCTCTGTGTGTCTCCAGGTAAACGTCCACATCAGTGTCAGATCTGTAAGAAGGCCTTCAAACACAAACACCACCTCATCGAGCACTCCCGTCTGCACTCAGGGGAGAAACCCTACCAGTGCGACAAGTGTGGGAAGCGTTTCTCCCATTCCGGTTCGTACTCACAGCACATGAACCATCGCTACTCCTACTGCAAGAGGGAGGCCGAGGAGCGCGAGGCGGCCGAGAGGGAGGCCAAGGTGGGAGGGCTGGCTGGAGGACTGGAGCCCACCGAGTTGCTGATGAGAAGGGCCTATTTGCAAGGCTTGGGGCCTCTCGGATACTCGGATCCAGAGGAACAGCCGGAGGACGGCGGTGGTACCATCTTAAGGGACGGAAGAGAGGGAGGAGGACAGGAGGTGGGAGGAGTGGACAATAAGATGTACGAGGAGGTGACAGATGGACAGGAGGCAAGTTTCAGGAACAGAGAGGAGGAGGGTGACAGCAGGAGCCAGATGGACTCAATGATGGATGAAGGGGGCAAAGACTCAGCACAGCTGATGGACACTTGTTCACGAGAAGGGAAGACAGACGGAACATTGGAACAGGAGGACTGATGGAGGAAAGAGAACCGGAAAGATGAAGATTTGTTTGTGAGATCTAGATTCTGCTTCATGGTGAAGGATAATAGAGTGTCTGATTGGCTGGGAGGATGTTTTAAAGTTTGTGCTATTCATCAAACTACCATATAAGGTCAAAAGTGATGTCATGAGGGTGTGGTTTACCTGAGACACCTGTTACCTGTATGACAACATACAAAATGTTAAGGCTACGACTCAGTTAATTCTGTTTTTAAAAACAAAAAAACATTCTTTGCTCTGGTTTATCACGTTCAGTCAATTTTTTTTTCTAAAATCTAACTTTTATCTTTATTTGATTTTTGCAATTAGATTTGTCCCGACCTGTTGTGAGTTTTGAAACCTTGAAAGAAAAACCATTGTAACCCCTGGTATTTGAATTCTGGAATCCTACATTATATCACTGGATAATAAGGTATTTTCATCCATTATGGAATTAAATGGATAGTCATGTTAAATGCTCACATTTTGAATACAACTGTACTTAATTCTTAAGTATTTTCTCAAAGATTTGTATTCCGCCTAATTCCCATTTCTTTTGGCTCCATTTGGCTTAGTTGACTCATAAAATATGATGGATTATAATCCTTTATCAAATAATAATAATAAAATAACAAACCAATCTGTAGAGCATTCCAAATATAAATATAAATACAACTTTACAAAATAGACTAAGATTTCATTAGCTATCAAAGTGGGTATGATATGTCTCCTTGGTGGGACTACAAAGTAGCCTGTAGTCGGTTTGAAGTGTCAAACAGATCCTTTTGGTACCCAAACATAAGTTTTAGCTCTAAGTGATGACTAAGTTTGGTAATTACGTAAACGCGAAGGGGGAAAGAAAATTACTAAGCTTGCCACTTCGTAGCTTGTTAGCTAGCTAACTGCTATCTTGTTAGCTTGCAACTGTTAGCTGATTAACTGTTCGGCTAGCTGCTTGCTATTTTTTTTGGCTTGTTCCATCGACCACCAAAATCTTTTTTTTCTTTTTTTGCCAAATTAAGCTACTCTCCTCAGAGTTGAACCAGAACTTTACATTTCTGGTTTTGTTGGAGAAAGAAGCTGTAAAATCTGTTGGACTGAACCTGGTAAATTAGAAATGTTTAACATCTAGAGCCGAAGTGCGAGGTGACCTGATGAAAGAAGTGTCCATTTTAGCCTGAATATGAGAGAACTAAGTTTTTGATCAGTAAATGTTAACCCTTTATAAAAGTAAACCAACCCTAACTTTCAGGTGTGCAGGAGGACCAGTGACCTGAATCATGAAGCAGGACCGACTGGTTTAAAATTCATGTTATGCAAAATAAGAAGAAAATAAAAAGAAATAATAATTATTATTCTAATAAACTAAGTGAAGCGCTTGTTAATGTACAGTATTATAAAGGCCTGAAAGCTGTGTGGTGCTCTGATGTTCCTAACCTCTGTGTCTTGTTGTGTTCGATAAAACCACTTCAGGAAATTGCACTTGGCTCCCTGAATCACTACAAAATAATGAAAAAATATTATTAAAAAATTAAATTGGGAAGCCTGGAACACTCTGTCACGTTCTGTCAGTGTTAATGTTGTTATTCTGTCTCCTTTTAATGTGACTTTTTTTTATATATATATTTTTATCCAACTTTATTATTTTTGCCAACTAACCACATAACTCCAGGCCTCCTGAGTTGTTTTTTTTCTGTGAAGGAATAATTAAACCTGTGTGATTTTTCAGTCTTAAATCGGAGAGGCAGGGGTAGGAAAATAAAGGGCTCGGCTGGAAAAAGAGGACGGAGCCTTTTGCTCCAGAGAAAGCCTTATATGCAAACCTTTCACCTGTCTGTTTCTAAAAAGTGCCATCCCTGTGCAGTGACACACCTGTCCTCTCATCCTGTCAGTATTACCGTAGATAGATGCCATTCTGTAGTTTACAACTGTTGGTGCAATTTCTATTGTTTTTTTTTTTTTTCATGACAGTACTTTTGACAGTATTACTTTTTGAATTTACCAACAAAAATTTCAATTTTTATTTGATAATTTTCCAGTGTATTTATGTGTGTCCTTTTATATTGCTGTCTTTATTTATTTCCTACTGTAGTGTACAGTATTAGGGTTCCTCACAGAAATATATTTTAGTAAAATGGTTCTGTCATCAAATATTGGGACATAAATGTTGATCAGGCCGTATCTTTGTTTTCTTCATGTTTTATTATTTGAAACTACTGAAAAAAAAAATCTAAATTTGGGGAACTTTTGATACAACAATTATTGTGCAAGCACTGTATTAATAAAAATCCACTTTATTCATGCCTCTGAAGAGAGGATGAAGAACTGATTATGAAGGAAGTCCTGAAATGTCTGAAGTATTATGGTTTTAATTTTTAATTTTTCATGTTGGAATAAATGTAGCCAAAATAAATTTTAATAAAGCTGTGTTATTCTTCTTGTAGCACATCTGTTTTATTCATCATCACCCTCATGAAAATGGTGATGATGATTTTAGGCTCCACATATTAGCTTTACAGTGTTTGGTCCAACTTTTGCTGCCAGAACAGCCCTGATGGCCTGGACTCCTCTGGATCGTTGAAGGTGATTTTAGTATTTAACACCAAAACGTTTATTAAATCTTATAAATTGTGTGATGGGTTTTCTTGGATTCCACTTGTTTGCCCAACAGATTCTTTATTAAGATCCGGGGAAATACGAAACCAAATCTACTCCTCAAACAGAAGCTGTGCTTGTTAAATTCTTCCAAAAGCATTTTTTGTTGTGTTCCATGAAGCGCTATTCTGCTGAAAGGTCAGAGAATAACATTTCTATATATATAAAAAATATATAAAACAGCAATCAAAAATAAAAAGGAGTCAACTTTTTTTAAGTTTTTAATATACAATGATTTACACATGCCTTACCTACCAAATCTGACTGCTTTATTTATCTAAAATAATTGAATTGAGTACTGCATGCATCATTTATTACTGAAAAGCTAAAAAAATAAAAACTTATGTTTTTATTTTTGAACAAGTTTTGGTTTTGTTTATTTTCAACTTGATTGTTATGCCGCATGTAAACAAAATTTGGACACCACTGCAGCACATAATTTATATTTTATTTTGTTGTCATCACTTTATCAAATACACAATTCAGTTGATATAAAAACCAAATAAAGTTATTAAAGGAGCTAAAATTTCAAGAATAAGCCTCCTTACTTATTACGATGTCATCGGCGCAGATTTCTGTGGCGAAAACAACATAATACAAAATATAGCAAGATATTAAAAGCAAAGAACTGTAAATTCCTAAAGTAAATAAGTAAACTGATGGTAGTAAAAGCAGTTTCGGTTTAAAAATGTGTATAATTTACTACTTTAGGAAAATATGTAAAGTTTAAATGAAATATAGTTTCTCACAAATTATTATTATTTTTTATGTTTTTAAATCAAATCCAAATTAGGAAACAACTGAAGGGGAAAAAAACTTTCTGCCAGTCTTTCTCTCCTGTTATCCATTTGTATCGACGTGATGACGTCAGAACTTGCGTGCAGCGTGAGCCGGGCGTCAGATGCAGCAGTCAGAGGTGAGTGTTCAGATGGAATCAAACATGTGTTTGTATGTATCCCCTTCCTTCTTTGTTGGAGTTTGGGACTCAGCCGGTCTGAGGTCATTTGTGCCCGGCATGCTGGTCCCGACCGGGAACCAGAGTTCGGTTCGGCTAACGGAGCTAATGCAACTCTTCCAGGAAGTAGACGGTTCCTGCAGAGCTGTCAGGTTCATTTTTGAGGACATAGCTGTAAATTTTGCTAAAACATTCTGACTTTGAGCAGATTTTGAGGCTTAAAGAGTTCAGCTTACTCATACTTTTACTTAAAAAATCTGACGATAAAACTGAAATATTTTACCATGAGGCAGAACAGTGAGCTGAGACTCCAGCCTGTTTGGATGCAAAGTGATGGAGAGGTTCTGGGAATGTTGTCCACATTCCTGCTGCCTGGATAAAACGACATAAAGTTTTGATACATCTACAGATCTTTGCAAAACTATTGGCACCCCATTTGACTTTTTATCATTTTATCATGCTGCAGTCCCAAACGTGTGTTTTTTTTATTTGGTGTGATAGGCCTAAAGCAAAGTTATGAATTTAATGTCAAAAGAAAATTATGCATCTTTTTCCAAAATTTTGTAATTAAAATAAAATGTTCATTGTTATGCTACAGGGAAGTCAGTGTTAGGGTATGCATCCTTTTGGTCTGAAAGGTTTACCCAATGTTCTTTGATAAATATTTCTAGCTGAATATCTTCTCTCTGTACAGATAATTTTTAAGTGTTGCCACAGTTTCTCAATTGAGTCCATGTCCAAATTTAGCAAATTAAAATTGAGAGAAATTAATCAGTTACAGAGGTTTTTTACTAAACACAATTTATACAAACAATATCGTAGAAATCAAATATGAATAGCAAACAATAAAACATGTAATAGTACTTTTTATAATTATTAATGCTTTAAACTGCAAGGAATTATTATAAAACTGTTAACTAATAACTAAAATTAGAACAAAAACCAATTTAAGTAATCTGTTTCCAGTCTGAGCAATCTGTGAATCTCTAGTTTAATAAAACCTTAACCGAGTCTAGTTTTATCCACAGAGCAGTTTCTGCTATTTCATGTCTGTATTCACAATATCATTGTATGAGTCTGCAGATAAAACAGGATGAAATTCAACAAGGGCAGTGCTAGCTTTACACATTTCTGATGAGTCAAAGAAAAACAGAAAGAAAGTGTAAAGGATTCTGAGAAGCAAATTTTAAGAAAAATGTTTGACAAAGCCAGATTAGTTAGTAAAGATTTTGGTTTAAAGATGACCTGATTGAGAATAAGGAGGAGATGTTTTAGAGGGTAATAATCTGAGTGAAGCAAACTGGTCTGAAATCAAATGAGAGGACATTAACAGGCCTGATGGACATGAAGATATATGGACGTAATCTGAATTCATAAGTTCAGATGAGTTGGTCTGAACAATGAAGCCATGTGATAGTTATTGATCCTGAATATTTCCCTCTGCCTGGCATGACTCAGGGTTTAGAGTGAAACCAGTCGACTCAGATCGAAGCAGATTTCTCCTGGTTCTGTTTCAGTCGCTGATTTGGTACGAAATATTGCAGCTCGTTCATAATGTCTCAGCTCCAAGTGGAGTGAGCACCATTACCACTGATATGAAAGACGGGTTTAATTGATAGTTTATCAGTTTAAAGTTTACCTGATGCCTCAGATGGTCGTGTTAAGCAGCAGACTGTATTACTGAGTCTAAGGTTGTAGTGATTCATTGAGTACTAAAAATTCTCAACATGAAATGTAGTTTTTTATTTGTTGATACATTGTATGCAGCCACATAAATGTTATTTTTTAAGTAACCAGTGCACTACAGGAAGTTGTGGGGACAGTAGTGTCTCCATTGCAGACTGTGCAAAGCAAAGCTCTTGTTTTTACATCACAAAAGCCTCTAAAGTGCATTACCACGCAGCCATGCGGCGACTCTGGACGGCTGAAACAAAACCACATTGGGATCTCTTCAGCGTAGTTATATGCTGTTAGTTCTTGCTATTAGCTTACATAAAACATGTTGTGGTAAAGTACATGGAAGCAGAATAGATCAGTTGAATTCTGTCGCTGATAATTTCTTCAGTAGTGATGCACATGGTCAGAACCTTTTTCTGGAGTTACTGTTTCAATTCAGCTCTTGAGTAGAGAGCTACAGTGGGGGGAAAAGTTTACACACCTTTGCTAAAGTACCTTGTTTTTGAGATGTCAAAAAAATGAGAGTAAAATAAAATAGAGCAGCAAGCCTTGGACGGCCGTGTGGCAAGCCAGCGGTAAGTCTTAAAAGTTTTGGCAAAAATCCGACCTTTCAGGCAGGAGTTATTGTTGCTTCGTTTTTGAGTTATGTCGCTTCGACGGATTGGTGAATGTGTTGAGTCAGTGTGTAATGACTCACAGAAAGTTTGGTACAGCTCTGACCTAACGTGTGGAAGTCAATACACTTTGATGTTTTATGCCGAGGAGTTAGATTTTGAGCCTTGGCTATGCCCACATACTTTTTTGCAGCACAAAGCTTTTGATAACTTTTGATCTCTAATGCCTCAAGAAAGTGCAGAGTCATTTTGAAGTCCAAGTCAAAAGCTGTAGGAGAAGTTTGCATAGATACAACATCTGTAAAAGAGAGAAAATGACAGCTTTCATCCAAAATGGCCGACTTCCTGTGAGGTTTAGACCATGGCTGGAAGAGACATTTTTTTGTAAGTCCTGAGAAGTTACGTATGTGCAACAAGAGCATCTTGATATCTGACTTTTGGCACGATTTCAAGTGGATTAGGTCAAAATTCAGAGATGGATCTTTCTAAGTGGAAAAAAGTAACTTCCTATTCTGGGGGGGAGTGGGGGGACTTCGACGATGTCAACAGATGACTACAAAGTATCATTGGGCAACCATCATGGATCCATCATACAGAGTTTAGTGTAATTCTTTCTATGTGAAAATTATAGTGTTTTGAATTTTTCGGAGAGTAAGCCACGCCTCCTAAACATGCTCAAACATTTAATCCCCCATCTTTTAACTGCATACTGACCAATTTGAAGCCAGAAGGTTAAAATTTCTTGGAGGAGTTTGTTAAAGTTCAAGGTTTGTAAATGTCTAATATGGTCAAAAACACCTTAGTGAAAGACTTGAGTCTTATTGTCGTGTCATCAGGAGTCATAGCATGCCAGTTTTTAGGCTCAGGTTGTTCCCTGTAGTTTCATAATAATGATCATATACATAAATGACTGGATTGTTTCAGAAAAATATGTACTCACTACACCTTACTTTACTTATGTTGCAATACTTGGCATACATTTTAATTTATTTCCTATTTAGACATAAGAGCAAAGGTTTTAAATGAAGATCCATAACATGATTTCCTAGTATTATTAAAAAATGATTCACACTCTCCTGAAAGAATTGAGGCTTGACTTGGACTTTAAAAAATTACTTAAAAAAACTATACATCTCTGGGGTATATGTTTTTTTTTTCAACAATAGTTTTTCCTTCCACTCAACTTTCAATTAACATGCTCAGTACAGCACTTTGTGAGCTGGTAGCTTATTTATCTTTCACCTTCCTTACCTTGTTGAGGGTTTTATGTCTCTTAGGTAACTCTAAAGTCAGCAGTGGCTAAGATGAAAAGGAGCATTACATAAATATAACATTACTTAATTAAATAAAAAAAATATTAATGGCTAATTTTGGATTCTTCATGAAAGTTAACATAAACACTTGAAATGTATAAATCTGTGTTCAAAGAATTTATATTTAATAACTTTCAGATTAAATGAAATTACTGAAGTAAATGCCATTTTAATGATATTGGAATTCACTGTGATGCATTTATATCGGCATGATTGACCTCCAGCTGTTCTTTTTTTGTTGTTTTGATGAAATGCAGAGGAGGCACCATGACCTGAAATCTGTGGGATGCTGATGTGAAAAATGTGGGCCTCATGCTCTTAATAATCATTCAGAAAACATGATGGTATTTAAATCTCCCACATTCTGGATTAGACTGATCAAACTTGACTTATTTAGTTCATTAATTGTTTGGTTATTATTGATCTTCGTAAAGCTGAAAGTTCCTTGTTAAATTCATGTCAAACTGCAGAAGGCAGCTGAAATATTACCCTTGACATTTAATGCTGAGCCAACACTGACTTGTTGATCTTTCCTGAAACCAGTACAACAATGTGATGTGTACAAAGAAATTGATTTCAGTCAGATATCCGCCTTCAAGAGAGCCGTGAAGTGTCAGAGAGTCAAATGAAAGAAGCTCATAGTCAGAGCGAGAACGACTCGAAAGCTGAGGCAGATCAGGAGCCGCTACCTTCAAATAACACGGGGACTGGCTGCTGATTCATTCAGCAACATTTCATCATCTCACACTGTTAATACACACAAACACAACGGGACGGCTGAGCACAGCCTGCAAAGAAACGCTGCGAGGAGGATGGGGAAGGTGGTGAATGTCGGGGGATTCTCCAGTGAAGCTGCAGTTTGTGCAGTGCAATTTAGTTTTATTTTTACAGTTCCCATTCATAATGAAGACTCATGAAGGTTGATGTCTAATTTTATTCCAGTTCATTTCAGTTTTTTCTAATGCAGCTTGTTGGACGGACCGAAGAGTTTTTGTAGAATGTTTTAGACTTTCTGACAATTAAGAAAGTCTGAAACATTCACGAAATGTTACCTATACATTCACAGAAATCTTTTTTCAACAGTAATTGATTTGATTCAAGAAGTTTAAATATTAAAGGCCTAAACACTGAACCCTGTGGTGCTCCATAACTAACTGAAGAGTTACCAAACTGAAATGTGTCAGACAAATATGATCCAAACTTACCTTGTGCTGTTTCCTTTATTCATACAGTCAACTTTATGAAATGAAGCACTGCTGGATATCCATGCATCCTTAAAAAGTCTTTAATTCATTTATCTAAAATTAAGGCCTTAAATGTAGTGAATCCATTTTAAAAAGTAAGTTGGCATTTGATATGTTAATCACAGCTATTAAGTTGTGTTTTTGCATAACTATTTAATCTCATGTATTCAATGTATTTTTTTTTGTCTTGAGGGATGTTTCCATCCTGCCAAGTCACAAGCTTCATTGCATACTGTTATTCACTGCTAACATAATTTTGCTTGCTAGCTCCCTTGCTAGCTTTTTTGCATCTGTCATGGCTAAGTGTAAATTTACTTGGCTGGACAAAGTTTGTACTTTATATCTGTGGAGACAAGATGGAGACAAACATTCATATTTTGCACTAAGCAGTTTAGCATTCCTTATTTGCAAGCTTTAAAGATCAGACCCTCGGTCATTAACGTCAATTTCTCTGTGGTTTACCACAAATAACTTCCCAAACCTGATCTATGACTCCTTTGAATAATATTTTTTTTTTTTTTGCCTTAATGTTGACTGATGAAGCAAAATGTACCTGAAACATTTGGTGAGACATCACTACCTCCCCAAATTGCTTGTCCGAGGTCCGCTCTACCTGAGTCACACTTTTGCGTGTTCGGAACATCATGTCACTTCTACGATTGTCAAATTATTTTAGCTAAAGATTTGACGTAAACCCAAGGACTTCCTTGCATAATTCAGATTTTCTTAGCATCTGTCTGAATGCTGTTTATTTTCTCAGAACCATCTTGAGCTTCAGCTGCGTCGGTTGGAAAGGGTCACAGACTTTTGTTCATACCAATCCTGTCCACCCAGGAAGGCCACTCCACAGCTGTGAGGCTCTCAGGTGGTCGATTGGTTTTCCTGTCTTTGGGTTTCAGAACCAAATTTCAAGCATTTCTTAAAACTATGTTAATTCATGATTTTAAAATAAAAGCAAAGCAATGAAATTTCAACCAAGTTGATCAAGGTGTTGATAATCCGATTGGACACAATTTGTTGGTTCTAGCCTGCTGTAGTTAGTCTAGACCAGACAATTGGTTGGATCACATTGTCTTTTCTTCAGATTCTGGTGTTGTGACCTGAACCAGTAAACTTTATTTGACTGACTACCTCTCTGAGTGGTGTTGGTGGAGTCTGGTGAAGCTGTTGCACGTTGTGCCCATCAGAGAGGTGAAGATCAGTCTCAGACATAACAGAGTCATCTTGGTCCTAAATCTGCTGAATATTAGCTGGAGTGACCTACATGTTGTTTTTGATGGTGTTGAGTCTGAGACGGCATGAAGTCATCAGGACGTCACCGTGGATGAAGCAGCAGACTCGCCCACAGATTCACGACAAACACGGCGAGAAGCGTTTCCAGAGATTCCACCGTTTGGTTTCCAGGCGACGCGGCGCGGCGCTGACTCAGCCCGGGCGCTGCAGCTGCTGGGGGGATTCCCTGCCGGGGGAAACGCCCACATTAACCCTTTGTTTCATGTGTGTCTGCAGCCTTCCATGTTCGAGGCGGTGGGAGGAAAGGTGTCTAAACTGGAATCCCCCACCGTGGTTCTGTTTGATTTAAGGTGGAATGATTGATTTCACATTTACTAACACACTTCCTGTCTGGTTGATCAATAAGCAGTTCAGAGCGGTTTGACTTTCCATTGTCCTCGTTGTCCACATCTGCCTGCCTGTCTGTCCGACCCCCCCGAGTCTCATCAGAGTTTATTTAGATTTAATTTTTTAACTGGTTCAATTCACAAATTATTACCACAAAATCTAAATACTTAACGTTTTTCTGTTCTTCTTTTTTACTTTTTTTTTTTTTTTTACTTTCTTTCTTTCTTTGCTTTAAGGTTTTTTTTCAGATGCATGTGGAAATCTTTTGGAAAATATTTGTATTGGTGTATATATTGAGAAAAACATGTACATTCTATACTTTTATATTTATCAGTTTTTGTCCTTTTCCTCTGATTTTATTACTTTTTCTTGTACTACTTAATTTCTCGTATTATAACTTTATTCTCTTATCATTACAACTTTATTTTTGTGATTGTTTTTGTTCGCCTTGCCCCTAGTACTAATAAAAATGTAATGTTTCATTGTTTACCTGTTTTTACACACAAGAAAATGAATTAGTGGAAAATACATTTATTGTCAGAACCAAAAACTGTTTTGTACTTAGTAAAACAATCAGTGATATGTTGATAATCACACTATATATTTTCATTATTGACTGAAGAAACATGACAATCAAATCTACTTTAAGGGAATTCCATGATTGTAAAATTTTAATGTAAAATTCCAAAGCCTTCTCAAAATTATTATTTTTAAATATAATTTTTTTTCTAGGTTTTTCCACCAATTAAGTTTCCCGTGTTTGTGTATTTCATTTTTTGCCATGTTAAATCGTCGGCAGACCAGACTCCAGCCTGTGGCTCACATCCTGACGTCTGTCTGAGGAGTTAATAAGAGACAAAACATTGAATTATTTCAGTCAGATATTTAGTTTTAATAGGTCTCTGCTGCTGTCGGCTCTGTAGGAGTCTGAACCTTCTTTATCTGGGGAGTAAAACTGTTCACTGGGAGGCCAGAGCAGAAAAACGAGTTGTCAGTTTTTCTTCTGAAGGCCAAAAGGTCGCCCATCCGTAGTTAATCAGCCCTCCCGACACGTTTTCATATTTCACATTATTTGGACGCATTCAGGAAACAGATTGGTCCATTTTTAGCACAAAGGCTGACATTGTGCTTCTGTTTCCAATCAGATTTGTCTTTCTGACACATCTGCATGGCAGAAGGCTCGTTGGTATCTGTCTCCAGCAGAAGAAACAGCTCATTTCCTTCTCCTGATATGAGTGGCAGCGAGCAGATATGGACTGATGGAGCCGCGTGTGGGCGAGTGCTGAGTGCTGCTGCAGCCACATTAGCTCCCATTGTGGGCAGGGTAATGGAGGAACGGACTGGAAATGGTTGGGAGGGAATTCAGAGGAAGAACAGGGGAGCTCAGGGGACTGTAAGCTGTCCACTTCCTGCCGCCGGCTGCGTAAACCTCCCCACAGTATAATGGATCCTATCAGGACACATTGTGCTGCAAATAGATGGATGTTACTGGGTTTTACTGTGGTTTGTTACTGCAGAGTTAACTGGCTGTACAACAATAGGCTTTCATTTACGGCCTGAAAGAAGGAGGATTCACTCTGCCTCCATCAGGCCGGTTTTTCAGCTGCATGTTAACTTTAGCACAGTGTCTGCTGCGACCTCTGACCCTCGCCGTGTTAGCTGCTCTGTGTTTCTGCAGCTGACGGGGATTCCTGTCAGACTGGAAGAGCCGTGTTGTGGAAATCTCGCCGAATTCTTGCAGTCAGACTGTGGAAACACCGTAGGCTGGTGTTCCTGCTGTTTTCATGAGACTGGCCTTCAACTTTCAGATCAGTTCTTAATAATGACGCAGCGTTCGGTGACTCATGGTGGAGTTTTCAGCTGAAAACAGACTTTTTATAGGTGAAAAATCACGAACAGGTCACGATCTGAAACATTTAAATGATCTGAGATAAATGACAAACTTAATCTCAAGACATTTTATAAGACAAAAAGATAATTTTCTGAGCTAAAATTTTGTATAAAGATACAGTTGTGTTCAATAAATGTGCACTAATTATGATGAATTTCCTCTTACAGCTAATGAAAACACAACGTTTAGGATTAATATATTACAACAGACTGATAAAAAATACTCATAAACTAGAAATGTAGGCTCAGGTAGCCTCAGCTTGAACATTTTCTCGTTCTGTCACATTATAACCACAAACTTTAATGTATTTTGTGTGATTGATGAAGACAATATATCTGAAAAGTGTGGTGTGCATTTGTGTTTAGCCTCCCCTGTAGAATCACCTTTCACCATAGTTAGAGCTTTATGTCTCGTTCATCTGAAGTCTGGATTTATTTCCTCTTTGCAAAACAGCTCAGACTCAGATTGGATAGAAATCATCTGTAAACATCAGTTTTCAAGTCATGGCACAGATTCCCAATGTAAATTTAGATCTGGGCTTTGACTAGGCCAGATTAATGCAATCTTTACAATCCGAAGAGCCAATTTTTCCCTCAGCCCAGCTATAAAAACTTAAAGCCATAAATCTTACATGTCTACTATAGGAAATGTCTTGTCTTTTAAAAAGAACATTAATAAATTATGAAAAACTACAACTTTTGCCAAAAGAGGATGGATACATTTACTTTTATGGGGTGTTATTTGTTTAAAATGTCGTAAAAAAAAGAATACTGCAAGAAAAACAAAGAAAAATAAATAATCACACTCAAGTAATAAGCATACCTACTGGATGCTTATTAGGCATCCAGTAGGTATTTGGTGTCATTTAATTTTATTTCCAGGTTTCAAAGTGAAGAGAGCAAAAATATAAATGCATAACGCATTTAGATTTTAATTTGTAAAATATATAATTTGTCCCCAATTCATAGCTTTTATTGTGTTGTAATCCCAACAAAAAAATCACAGAAGTTTGTCACTGGAAAATGACAAAAACTTTCAAAACTCTATACCTTTGGAAGAGAAATGTACCTAAGACTGCTTCTTCACCTCACCTCACAGATTTCATGATAGATAGATAGATAGATAGATAGATAGATAGATAGATAGATAGATCTGTATATATATTAGCTTACATATTAATGAATATGCCTGCTGACTTGTGACCTCTCTCCGTCAGGTCGGCGGCTCCCCCAGCGTCCTGCTGGTCGAAGCGTTTTATGGCGGCTCTCACAAACAGCTGATCGACCTTCTGAAGGAGAACATCGATGGATGCTCCGTCTTCACGCTGCCGGCCAAGAAATGGCACTGGAGAGCGAGAACGGCAGCTCTGTACTTCAGCCAGACCATTCCTGTCTGTTCATCATACAGGTGAGACATGTGACACATCTGACATCATGCAGGTAACTCCTCAGGTAGACTCCAGAATCCAAATAAAAACTAAAAGATGTTTGAGGCTTTATTTTTGTCCCTTTCTTGCTGTAAGACTGTTCAAAGATGTCCTATGGCATGGAGTGGTCATCTAGTTTTTGCATTTTAAACTCTATCATTTCCTGTCAGTTCGGACTGATTCAACCCTTTTGAAAGTGTGTAGAACATGGTTTTCCTTCCTTTGTCATTGGAAAAGAAGAAGCAGCTAAACAATCTGTCCTTGGATAAAACAGGGGGGCAAGCCAGAGGTATCTTTGTAAAATCAAATACCATTTCTTTGGTTTTTGATGCATCATTTGCCAGAAATGAGAACTTATATGACGGAGTCATGATCAGAGTTCTGGTCATCAATCAGATACAATCTGATAGCAATCACAGAGTTATCAGCAAACGTTACGTCTGCCCTCGTTTCGACCCTGGCACTCACTTAAAACGAATAAAAGGGGTGCAAGGTCACAGCCCTGAGGTGCACCAATGGAGGACAAAAGTACATCAGATAAAAACTACAACCTCTAGGGTCTGTTTGTGCAAAAATCACCTCTCTCATTCTTACTAGCTGGCAGTATGTGGTTGAAGTCAGTGTGTTTATGGGTGAGGGTCTGTAGTAGTTTTTAGGTCAGACTCTGTTGAGCTCGGTTGAAAGACCTGAGGCTGAGGAGCAGCAGGATGAAGAGTTTTCTGCTGCTTTCAGACAGTGTGAAGCTGCTGATCTGATGGAGGATAACAGGATCAGTTTCATGTGCGAGGCTTCGGCCCCTGCTGCTGCTGCTGACTCATTCACAGACTGGTTTCACAGCAACATGAGCGGCAACCATCACTGCTCTGAACTTTAAGACAACCAGACGCAGGTGGGAGATCTCCGAGTGCTTTCATCAGGAACTTCACTTCTTTGGTTCCATCTAAGTTCATCTCCTAATAGACAGAGAGTCACAGGATGTTTGTACAGTAAAAGTATATATATTTGTTGTGATTAACTATTGAAACGCCACTCACCTGAAAAAAATTCAGCATCCTACCAAATATTGCATCCAAGCAATCCTTGCCATTGTGTTCTTATCCACATTTATGTAGCAATGATTGTGTTTCAACATGTTGTGGAGGTCCAGTAAAATCCACCGGATTAGGAGAACCTCTGTACAACTGTGGATCTCATTGTTGATACATAAATCTGAAATCAAACTAATTGATTTAAGTCTTTTTGGATCGGCTGAGTCCAAATGTTGTTTCTGTTGTACTAAAACAACTTGTGGCTTTTGTCAGCCCGGTTTCTGAGAACAGATAGCAGTAGTTGGGTCCAGACCGGAGGCACTGAACCACATTAATGTCCTGCAGCCAGAGATTAGAGAACCTATAAGGATGAGTGTGACCTGCAGACCCAGAACTGATCGAGACAGGGGTCCACTTTGGTTAAACCCTGGTGTCGATGATCCACATTCAAACAATGGTGATGGAAACCAACATGTTTTTGTGCTTTAATGTTTGTTTGAATTGATGAGATCTTACAGAAAGTTGATTATATTTATTTTTTAGAACCAGAATCCAATATTCCTAAAGTTTCTGAGACGTTTTCATCTCTGTTCATAACACACACAAACTATCTGAAGGTGTTACAGTTTCAACTTTAGTTGCCCTGCAGTACAGTAGATCCTGGGTATTTGTGGGGGTTAGATCCGCAAACGCATATAAATAGCTAAAATATCCCCTCTAAAAACACAGAATCACAATAACCACTTCTATTATAAGACCTAAAACACCAAATATGTATTAATATCTACAGTGGAAACCGTCTTTTCACGACAGCAGGAGCTAATGCCTACAGTCTTCCTTATCTTTGAGTTCAGCCAATCACCACCAAGGAAAATAAATGGTTCTTTTGCAGCATGTTCAGGTTTCACTATCGTGTTTCATAACTGCTTAAAAATAAGAACAACGGCATGGAGTGAAAGGAGAAAATGACAACAGCTAGAGAAGAAACTGGATAAAACAGGAGAGGTCACATCACCAGTTTAACAGTATTTCAGATAATTAAAACAAAGAAAATAATTAGTAGTTATCAATATCAACTGATATGAAATGCTTATACCATGGTACATTTTTCAGTCATTTTTTGTCCATCCTTAGTGACCCCAGCACTCATTAGTGTATAAAATGAATGGTGGTGAAAAGACACAACCCTGAGGAGCTCCAGAGAACGAGTCAAACATCTTCCTGCCTGTCGGCTCCAAACCTGTGAAATGTTTTCAAGAAGACGGTTTCCTCATCTTTATAGACCAATGGGATGTTTTTGTTTTTCTACTGTTATATACATTTACTTAAATGAAAGGTTTGATTTTATTTTTTTTATTTTTTGTTTTTTTTTGTTTTGTTTTTCTCCACAGGGTTCTGTTTAGCAGCTCCGTTCTGAACCTGTGTGAGCTGGTGGCTCTCCGACCCGATCTGGCCCGGCTGAAAAAGGTCCTGTACTTCCATGAGAACCAGCTGGCCTACCCGGTCCGTAAAGACCAGGAGCGAGACTTCCAGTACGGATACAACCAGGTGCTCTCATGGTAACACATCCAACCCGACTGATCATTGATCACAATAAACTGAGCTCAGTTTGACATGCAAAGGCCCTCTGATTGGCTAGTGATGAGGAGCAATCCGATTGGTTGATTGTGTCTAATTAAAGTGCTTCAGGTTATTGATCAGCTGTCTGACTGTAAAACTGATTGTTGTTGATCAGCTGGCAGCTCATCAATAAGCCGCAGTTGCTCCGTCTTCTCTAACCACATTACAGCAGGGATCATTAGCAGACGTCTGATGGGACACTTAGAGTCCAATCAGTGTCCCAACCCGTCCTCAGGTTCTCTGGTTCTGTCCCCTCTGCTGTTCTGACCGGGTTTGTCTCTGGGTTCTGCAGCCTGGTGTCGGATGCGGTGGCCTTTAACTCCCGCTTCAACATGGAGTCCTTCCTGTCCTCCATCGGCTCGTTCATGAAGAAGATCCCAGACCACAGACCCAAAGACCTGGACCAGCTGATCCGTCCAAAGTGTGTGGTTCTGAACTACCCGGTCCAGTTCCCTGACGTCAGCAGGTGGGTTTAAGGCGCTTCACCGATGTAAGCTCACAATGGCAAACATTTATGGAGTTCTTTCTTGCATCAGTCTAACTCCTCACAATCCCTTTTTCATATTTTACTTATTTTCTATTTATTTCAGCATATATTTATTTTATTTATTATTATTGTTAGTATTTTTTGTGCTTTGCATGTTAGTTCCTGAAAATATGCAGCTTGAAGTTGATGGTGTATACAATATGTTTATGCTGAGCCTAATTGCATCCTGGTTTATGTAAACACCTGAATGATAAAAATATCAACCAGAAAAGTGGTTCTGATTTTGGTCAGTAAATGTAAAATAAACTCCTCACATCTAAGATTACGAGTTTTCAAAGATCTGCTTATAATGTTTTCAAGAGATGGATGCAGAATTGGATCAGATAAAAATATCAAACACTTTGGCAACATTTAGTTGTTCAAAGGAGGAATCTGTTTGGTTCTTGTATTCAGACATTTTTCTACCCTGTGTTTAGATATCAACCTTGTAGATTTATGTTTTTTTTTTCTCGTCTTTTCTAAAAAAGAAATTGCAAATTCCAGAAAATATTTTGAAAAAGTGACTTTTATTTCAAAACTTCTGTGAGTTTTATGTGGAGAATATGAGAATATAGTCATTTCATTATAGATTTGACCTGAATTTAAAGAAGCTGTGTAACTCGCTTGTTAAACAAGATGGCCACCATGGGCATGCTGACATCACCCTGAACTTTGGAAACCCAAGGAGTGTATTAGCAAAAGAAATCCGGATTTTTCAAAACTTAAATCTTAACAAACCAAAAATTTCATAAAGTGTTAAAACTGATTTGTTGCCCAGCTCTGGTCTGTTGAGTTTTAAGAGAAAAGTTTCCTGTGTCATGTGACCTCTCATTTCCGGAGCTTTGTTCAGGTTCAGCCTCAAGCCATGAAATGTGGGCGGAGCCAACAGTGTGAGAGCCTTAGCTGTGTGTCTGTGGTTGCCGTAACGACAACCTCCATCCATCAGTCGGCCTCTCGTTGTAACTGAATAGTAATCGAGTCCTGCTGAGAGAGACAGACGTTCCATCCATCATGGCTGCTGCTGAACCCCCGACTCCTCTGAGATCAATGAGGATGTCATGAGGATGGGACTGGTTCTGGTTCTGGTTTCAGTCTTCTGCATGTTCAAAGTGGAACGTGAAGTCAGAGAGGAATAAATGTGCAAAAGAGTTCAGATCCATGGAACAACACATGAAACAATTGTGGAAACAGCAATTGCGTTAAACTTTTTTTCTTTTCGACAAGAAATGTCAAGTTTGTTTGTACACAAAATTTCAGCAACAAGGGAGTTCAAAGTGCTTTACACCATAAAAACATAATGAAACAAGAAATAAACATTACATTTTATCAAATGTCATCATCAAGCAAATACACATCAAATATGTTGCTCAGTTTTCCATTTATTGTGGTTCAAAAGCAACTCTAAACAGGTGGGATTTTGGTTTAAAGGAACTCAGTGTTTCAGGTGTTTTCCAGTTTTCTGGAAGTTTGTTCCAGATTTGTGGTGCATAGAAGCTGAATGCTGTGTCTCCATGTTTGGTTCTGGTTCTGGGGATGCAGAGCAAAATCAGAACCAGAAGACCAGAGGGGCCTGGAAGGTTGATACAGCAGCAGATCTTCAATGTGTTGTGGTGCTAAACCATTCAGTGATTTATAAACTAACAACTAAATGAAGATAAACACATGGATGAGTTTTTCTATATGTTGCTGGAGACATGTCTCTCTGCATGTTCAGGTCTGAGTCCATCACTACATCCAGATTTCAGACCTGATCTCTAGTTTCCAGCTGTAGCTGTACATTAACTCTGGATTGTTCCTCTTTAGGTCCAAACATACAAACTTCAGTTTGTTTCTGTTCAGCTGGAGAACATTCTGATTTCTCCAGACCCAAACTGCTGGATGCTGTAGTTTAGACTCTGCAGTCCCTCCATGTTCTGCTCAGTGATCTGTCCTCCCTGCGGCGTCCCTCTCTGATTATTACCCCGATTATAAACCCCGGCAGCCTCGGCGGTCGCTGACCTTCATCTTTAATCAGACTCAGAGGTGACATCATCACTGTGATCATCAATAAGCTGATTGGTTTTACTGCCTGCAGTCAGACTGCTCATTCCTCAAATGGATCACTGAGTCCTGTTTTCCAACGTCCTCAGAAAAACAGGCGGACCTGGAGACGCTCGTGTCCTGCAGTCTGTCTGGGTTCTGTTTGTGTAATTCTGGTTTCGGTTCGGTCTTTCAGTCTGCTGCCTGAACACAAACTGAGACGTCTCCACCGTTCTGCAGAGACCAATCAGCAGCAGACGTCGAGGTAATCACACGATCAGCTCACTGGGTCGGATCGCCTGTAGGTTATCACAGCTGTTGGTTCTGACTTGATAGGTGTGAAGAGGATCCATCACCTGATCCCAGAACCGTTCTGACACCAGTGGACCAGGTGAAGCCTCTACACATTGTGTGGCCTCATAGGTGGTGAGTTCTGGTTCGACCCGATCGACTGCTGCTCTGTGCCGCTATGCAGAACCTCCCTGAAAGTGTTGGCCAACACATTAAACCAGTGAACTACACAATCTGCTGCAACCTTAATAGACCTTAACACAGGATCAGACAAGCAGAACTGAACTGATTCATCCATTCATAGCCTAATTAACTGATTTGAAGTGTCAATCTTCATGAATCAACATAAACTATCTAGAGCTGAAACAATCAAATTAGTCGTGATTAATCAATTATTAAAATAATCATCTAATTTAATCAATCGTTAACTGGAGTATACAGACACCAAAAAGTGCATTTGCTGAAAAAACAGGACACTCAAAGCAGTAATTAAGTCAAATTGTACTATATATATATATATATATATATATATATATATATTGCATTTAAGAGGAAAAATCTTTTTCTGTCAATATGTTCAAATCTGAAATCCTGAAGAGAGGGCTCAGCTTGTTCTTATGTTAATGTTAGAAGTATCTTTTATTTTTTGCTGTTGATCCCTCTTTTGGTACAAATAATCAACTAAAGGAATGGTGTGTTATTGAATTTTAAGCAATAAAATATTTGTTTTATTTAAAAAAGAAATAGAAATGTTTGCTTATTGCATTTTTATGTTTTTAATATTGCATAAAATAATCTTAAGTGGTTAAATAAAAATCAGCAGATTATTTGTCAAAATAAGTGGTAACTAAAATAATACACGGTAACAGAATATTGCATTTAGGCTGAGTTCATGGTCCAAACAAAACCTCCGGCCATCTGTGTTTAAAGGGAACACGACAAGAACCCGGAGCTGTTCTTCAACACTCTGATCAAACTGAAGGAAAAGCAGCTGGATTTCCAGCTGTCAGTGCTGGGAGAGACGTTCACCGATGTGCCAGGTACACACTCACCTGCTCAGCACACACATTGAACTGCATGGAGCTGGAAGCTGCTGTTCAGTGGGATGTTCAGACCATTCAGGACTCTGTCGGTCCAGGTGTGTGTTCACCTGTGTTCCAGTGTCTGTGTGCCTCCTCTGGGTGTATTTCAGTGTTTTAATAACGATGTGATGGAGTGTTGATGAGTGTGTGTTTTAGCGGGCCGAGCCCACTCTGAGTTATTGGATCATAAAGTTTTAGTGCAGAACAAACAGCCGGCGGTAAATCAGCTGAGAGCCAATCACATTAGGAGCTGAGTGATTTCACTAACAGCTCTGAGTATTGATCACTTTCACCTGTTAGAGACTCTGCTGGTTTAATCAGAGAGATCTGTCCTCATCAAACTGTCCTCTTCCTCTAATTACCAACATAAACCTCCTGCAAGATCATCACAGCCCAGGAGGAGGAAGAGGAGGAGGAGGAGGAAGGGGAGCAGACTGAAGGCTGAGAGGAAAATGTTTCTATTGATTTTTAATCAAAAATAATATTCTAAGACTCAAATCACTCAGTTCCTTTAAGATTTTAGTCACATAGAATCAGAAAATCTTTTGCATTCATCATCCTACACAAATAATGACCAACAGGAAGTTCAGCCAATCAGCTTAAAGCAACACTGTGACCTTCCTCACATGACGAAGCTGTGATCTCCTCCTGCAGAGATCTTCTCCTCCGCCCAGCAGCTGCTCCAGTCCAACATCCTGAACTGGGGCTTCCTGCCCAGTAAGGACCAGTACCTGAAGGTGCTGTGTGACGCCGACGTCGTCGTCTCCACCGCCAAGCACGAGTTCTTCGGAGTGGCAATGTAAGATTTTAAATAACGATGATTAATAATGATAATAAAAAACAAAAACATGAGCCTCCAGTAAAATCAGTAAAATTACAAGTAGCAGTAAAAGAGCTACGTGTAAGTTGAGAAGACGGAGCTAACAGCTTAAATATATACAAAGATGCATGTTTTCACTATATGATTAATCAAATTAATCGTAATGAATCGATTTTTCTAATGATCAACTAATTTAGTAATTGATTGATCGTTTACTGCAGCATACAGACTTTAAAGAGGCCACCGTTTGCAAAAAGATGATCACATGTAGGCTAATGGAATGCTATGTCATTCTATTTTAGGCAACAAAATTATGTTATTTAAAGAGGGAACTGAGTTAAGTGTTTATTTCCATATTTTAATATATTTACAATATTTTCTAAAATAAGTTTGAGTGGTTAAATAAGAAATCTGCAGAATTAGCCTTTTTTTATCCGATTAAAGGTCAGAATATTGATATTGATTTCTAAAATTGTTACACACAAACCTGTGTAAAAAAAAAAAAAAAGGTTTGCCACAGTAGCAAAATCTAACTCTAAAGAAACAAACATTTCTCAGACTGCTGAAAACATTCAGAGAGGAATCTTTTTCCTTAAGATCAGAAACATCACACTAATATTTTGTTTAACCCTTTAACTTTCCTTCCAGTCTTACGTTGGACAATTGTCAGTCCAGGATTAGTGGTTTCTGAATCTTCGTAGATGTTTCTTTTGTTTGATGTCACTGATTTGACCCTTCTTAAACAAACTAACATATTTTCTGCAAAGTGTCTTTAGCCACGGTTGCTTAAGAAACGAGAAGCTATTCTTTGGTTTAAAGAAAAATGTCAGTGTCCTTAACGGATGCATCTTGGATTCAGCTGAAAGAGTAGGTGTAAAACAGGTTTATAATGTAAACCAGGACTGGGCCCATGCATGCTGGGTTTATACTGAGCTGTTACACATCTGGAACCCAGAAGCTGCTGTAGATGTTTGTTCCTGCTTCTTCTCCCAACGCTTCCAGATATTCCAGGATGCAGCTCCCCGTAAGTCAGGCTCAGCTGTCAGAGGTTCTGGAGCGGAAACAACACAATCATGTGGGCCTGAGGCCTCGCTGACACTTTGATCCTCATTAGGTCTGAATCTGGTTCTGTCTGATGAATCCGGATCATCAGCAGAGCTCATTAAGGCCCTGCAGCCAGCATGAGCCAGCTCTGATCAGATAGCTGCTGGTGTGTTGATCCAAGTTCAGCATCTGAAGGAACACTTCTCCAGGTTCTGTTCTCAGATGTCCTATTAAAGGATTGGTGTTTAGTTTGCATTCACACTGAACCGCCAAAAAGTCCAGATCCCCGTGGAAAAACCCAGAACCTGAACACATCGTCCACAGAGAGCAGAGGAAAAACGAGTGCAGAGATTAGCCAGAAAGGATCAGAACCAAGATCCCAGAATGAATAAAGGTCTTAAATACACGTGCCTAAAATTAAAGTTTTAAATTCAATTAAAAAATTAAAGTTGGTCTTAGATACGTTTACCATATGTCTTAAGTTTTGTCATGAATAACTGTTTAATCTCATATGTAGTAGTTTTTTTCTCAGACGGTGAGAGACAAAAGTCTTCACCACTCAGCGTGAAACCCCACACACAGCAAGTGATAAAAGTTGAGGGCCACAAACACATTTTACTTTTGTTATGCCTAATTGTAGGATTTTCCAAGCAACCCCTATGTTTTCAATCTTAAATTTAATTCAAGGTGGATTTAAAAAGTCTTATAAAGTATTAAATTTGACGTGTTAATGGAGCCGATCCAAAGCCTGATTCTTCCTGACTGTCTGTTGATGATTGATGATTCTGGGATGTTTCAGGTTGGAAGCAGTTCACTGTGGATGTTTCCCTCTGTGTCCAAAGGCTCTGGTGTATCCCGAAATATTCCCAGGTAAACACACCTGAGATGGATCTACCTCTCCGGCTGCAACACCTGACCTCTTCCTACTGCTCTTTACTGCCACTCCTGCAGCGGGACACCCAGAAAATTTTCATATGGGTAGCCAGACCAGTAGAAAACCTGTGGATTCACATCTAATGAAATAATAATTATATATTTGTATTTAAATTATATAATTTCATATATGTATTTATTGGGTTTTCCTTTTATGTCAGCGTTTCTTAAGAGGGGGCCATGCCCCCCCCAGCCCCTCTCTTGGGACGGCCACTGACTTCCTCCTTTTTGTCCCAGATCAGTACCTGTACTCGACCCCTGAGCAGCTCTGTAAGCGTCTGCAGGAACTCTGCAGGAGGCCCGACCTCGCCCGTAGACATGTCGTCATGGTAACCCTATCATTTTTTTTGTTTGAAAGTTGTGGTGTTCTTTATTTCAGAGGCAAAGCAGGTTACAGACAGATTGTCCTGGTTCTGATTCTGCAGGTGGACACCTCATTGTACTCCTGGACTTCTCTAAAACCACAATTCCAGGCTCTCCTATCTGCGGAAGGTACCTGAACGCATCACAATGCTGGTTATTTAACTTCCTCTGAGCTGTGAATCAGAGCGGTTCTGTTCTGAGTCGAGTTGGATCAGAGTGAACTTTCAAACCCAGGCAGGAAACTAAGTCCAGATTAGAGATTCCTCGTGCTCTTAATCTGGCATCTCGCTGCAGGAATAAGCAGCCGGGTCCAGCTTCTGGTTCTGAGTCTTTCATGGGTTTACGACTGTTTTTCAGTCAACAAATGTCTGTAAACGTTTATTTTAATCAAAATATATATGTTTTTTAATAAAAGACGTTAAATAAATCCTGATCTTTAAGTGTCTTTGAGTGTCCTGAAAAACGCTGTACAAGTCTGAAGTCATTTATTAAAGTTTGTTTGTTTCCAATAATCATATGATTATTGTAAACAATAATCGTTCACAATAACATATTGGAAACTGAGATCCATACAGTTGCAGAGACTAGATGCAAAAGTAATAAAAGACAAATTCCAGCTTTAAATGCATAAAGTTTTTGTATTAAAGGAATCTAAAACTTCTAGAACTGGTTCGGTTTGGAAACTTCCAATCGATTTTTTTTTTTGTTTATTTTTTCTACATGTTAACTAAATGTCTGTTTAAGAAAAAGAACACCATTTATATAACCCGTATAAAAACTGAAATCCAAATTCCACATTGAACAATTTGGATTTACTACAAAGTTGAAGAGCCATTTAAAGGATCTATTAGCTCAACTAGAGTTTGTAAATGGTGTTTAATGTACCTCATAAAGAAATATGTACAATTTAATGCTTGTAGGACTTTCAAGTGCAGAGGAGGCCCCTGACAATATATTATGCAAGCAGTGGGCCAAAATGTAAAATATTCACTGAAGATACATGAATGGTACCAAAATGTTAATAATATTAACAGTGGACCAAGTCAATAACAGTAACAAGCTCTTTCTTTATGCCTCTCAATCAAAGATTTATTTATGATTATTAATCATCATTAGCAGCTGGCATCACTAATATACAGCCATCAGGAAGGGGAATCAGATATTCAACACTATGAACTGTTGATTTTTTCATTTATTTTTAAATAAAAGAACAAAACATTTCATTTTTTCAAACAAGTCAGATTTTTGACCTGTTTTTTTACTCATGAACCATACTTACTTTGCCCTTTGTTGCTGCATTAAAGGTGATAAACTTTCAATTATGCAGAAAGCTTTGAGCAATATAAATCACTACACATTTTACCGCGCCTGTGTAGGATAGCAGCCATACTTTACCTCAGGATCTAGTTTGTTACAAATTTCATCAAACTACTTGTTACCAATGTTTGAGGGGAAAAAGCTTTGCTCGAGTGATTTTGAAAAACTTGCAATTTGTTCTCTGTGTAGTTTGATCCATATATTCAAATTTCTGTTTTGTTAAAGTTTTCCAAATGACTTTGCATGTTTTAAGATGGATCTAAAAAAAAAATAAAAATATCAGCAAAATTAGTCTTTAAGTTTGTCGCTTGCAGACTCACCCACGGGTTTTTATATAATGAAAGTTTTCTGACAATGTGATTTCAGGTGTAAAACTTATCATCCAAAATGTGATGATGTTGACCACAGTGCCACCTACTGGTCGGGAGTAGCAAATTTCTAGTAGTTAAGAGAGGGGTGGGGATTCCAAGGATTTGAACTCGTAAAAACCATCAGTTATTGTATTTACATTTTAAACTAAAGTTGTGAAATAAAGAGTTTGATAAGGTTCAGTCAGTCTAAATCCTGAATAAGAGGAGTCCTATATTCCTAACTGTCCCTGAATGCCTCCAAAGAAGGTCATCAGTCAGAGCAGCTGCTCCGTCAGTTTAATCCAGACTTTAAATCAGACCTGTAGGAGAAGCTGGAAGGAACATGGAGCTCCTCTGATTTAGAAACCATTTAATCTCCAACCGCAGTCGTGTTATTTCTGAAGGAAAGCCTTCTGAAAGCTGGAAGAGTTTATATTTCACTATTAACAGAGAAGAACCAGAACAGCAGCAGGTTTCTGTTCAGATGCTGTAACTAGGATTGAGATGCTTAAATGGATATTTGAATAAAACCTGGTTCAGGTTGAGACACGTGGCAGCTTGAATTGAGAGAACCCAACTGGAGTGAGCAGATCTTCCATCAGAGACAGAAACCGTTTGCTGCTTCAAGGTTTCTCTACAGACTGACGTATTATCACCAAACGTCAGCCTCCATGCTGCTGCAGGAGGAACGCTGCTCGTTTCTGATTGAGACTGACTCCTGCAGCGTCAAACCAACAAACTCCTCCTGACGTCTGTTCATCACAGAACAGACGTCTGTCTGTTCTGTGACAGACAGACAGATTTACATAAAGGTTTATGTAAATCTTTATGAAGATTTACATAAACTACAGTCACTGTGAACAGGAAATCCTCTGGGCTGACTGGTTCAAACATCAGGACGGCAAAAAACTCACACATTAGAAAACAACAAACAAAAACAGCAAAACCCAAATATACAAAATATACATAAAAACAGAATAACAAATAATATACTATACAGTAAGCACAATATTTCTACATACATACCTTGGAGTTATAAAAAAACCTCTATTCCAGAGGAATGTGCCTCTGAGTTAGTTAAATGTACAAAATGTGCATATTGAGCATTAAATGACAGACTATTTAGAAATAGTGACAATAAAAAAAAAACATGCACAACAGTGAAGTTGTCCAGATACCACCATGGATGTAAACACTGAGTTTGATTGGATCAGTGATGGTTATAGAGTCTAACTTGGTGGAAGGACCTATGGTAAGGCTCCTTTGTGCATTTAGGATGCAGCAGTTTGTCACTAAAGGAGCAGCAGTGGATCCCTTTGTGATTCACTACCTGATCAATAACAGATTTTTATTTCAGCTTCTTGGGAGAAAAAACTTTTATATAGCCAGTCAAGTGAAACGGATATTCTCATGTTGAGGAGAGGCATTGCTACAGGCTAGTAATAACACATTTTAATATGTTGGTCAGGGTCACAGGGGCTGATGAAGATGATGAAGAGGAAGAGGTCAGCTAAAGCCTCAGAGTCTGATGACTAATTAGCCGCTGATAATGGAATCAGATTAAACAGATCAATGACGGTGAATGATCTGAGCTCCCATGAACAATCTAAATGATGACTGCAGATGAAATCAGTCAATTAAAAACATTTTTCTCTGCGTTTCCCTCATTCTCTACTGTGGA